GCCTGAAGGTCCTCTAGGGCCGAGGGAGCTGGGGGACAGGAGGAGACCTAGGCCTGGAGACGGGAGAGGACGGCAGTACAGTTACCTCCCCAGAACAGGCCAGGCTGCAACTGGTCATCCAGTCCAAAGCCACTTCACTTTTTGGCCGCATTTCCCCAGGGATCTCTGGGTGTGGAGACAAAGACCTTCACCCCCTAAGGTCACAGTTCCTCTTTTGGGGCCCTACATCTCCCGCCTCCACGCTTTTCTCTGGGCTGAGGCCTCTGCCTGGCGTGCCCTCCACCCTCTCTCCCTAGTCGTAGCATCCCTTCAGACTCCATCAAGCCTCACCTCCGAGGACCTTTTCCTCCCATCACCTGGTATCTAATTTGCATACATCTGCATACGTTCCCTTAGACTGGGAACTCCTGGTTGGGGGGACAGGGGCTGGCTTTTGTCTTTCTTTGCATCTGCACTGAGCAGAGGGCCTGACACACAGTAGGTGCTTAATTAATGCCCGTTGTCTCCTCCTGGAGCCTAATTAATGCTTTTTGACGAGCTGGGTGCTAATTCTGGCTGGGACTGTGTTGTGTGACCTTAGGCAAGTCCCTTTTCCTCTCCGAGGGCCTCTCAGCCCCCACCCATTAAACTTGGGAGTAAGACCGGACATTTTCGAAGGTCATTCAAAGACTCCACACTGTCCAGTCTCTTTCCTTCTCCTTTCCTCAGTTTCCACCTGTGTAAATCAGGGGTTTGGAACAGATGGGCTCTAAAATCCTTTGGGCACAAGGTCACGCGAAGGGTCTCGCAGGGAGGTGTCTAGTCCAGCCTCCGAGGCTTCTAGGATTCTCGGACCCAGCGCAGCTGTGTGGCCTCGGGCAAGCCCAGCGGCCTCTCTGGGCCTGGACGGTAACAGCTGAGGGAGGAGGCGGGGCTGGGGGGAGGCGGGGCTGGGGGGAGGGCCGGCCCAGGAGGGGGCGCTCCTGCGCCCCAAGGCCAGGCCGCGCTTGCGCACTGAGCAGTGCCCCTCCACTCGCCCGCCTGACTTCCCCCTTACCTCGCCCCCTGCAAACGCAAGGGGGGGAGGGGGCCGCGCGCATGGCCGAGCCACGTGACCCCCAGGCCCTGCCCCAAGATGGCGGCCGCGGCCGGTTTAACGGTTCCTCCGAGCTCGAGCTCCTGGCCCGTGGGGCCCCTTCTCCCCACCCCCTAACCCCGCGCCCGGTGCGGGTCCGGTCTCGAAGCCAGGTCCGACGCGCCCTGTCCGCTTTTCCCCTTGGTCCGGCGCGCGCGCGCGCGCGCCCCCTCATCCTGGCTCCGCGGGTCGGCGTTAGGAGGCGGGGCCAGCGCGCCGCGCTATCGACGGGCAGCCGCCGTAGCCAATTGGGTCCTGGACGTGCCTCTCAGGGGCGGGGCTCGCCGGCGCTCCGTCTTCGCGTCGGGTCCTTTGGCTTTCGGGAGAGGGGCGGGAGCGACCTGGGTGGTGCCCCGCTTCCTTGAGCCGACCAATGGGAGGGAGGAGAGGCGCCCTTGGAGGGGCGGGGCCGAACCGTAATTGACGAGCGCTTCCTTAGGAGTCCGGGCGGAGGGAGGGGCGGCGAGGGGGAGGTGACGCAAGCCTAGACAGACCAATGGGCGGCGTGCTGCGGGCGGCGGGGGCGGGGCCGTAGCGCCTGATGGACGGCGCGGGCGGCCTATGGACGAGCGGCGTGGTGGGGGGGGCCCGAGCCTTCTGGTTCAACGTGGGTCAATTTTTTGTGAATGAGGAGGGAGGTTGTGGGGCCGCCGTCGCCGCCGTGGTGGGGAGCAAGCCAGTGCCCGAGCGCCCCAGCCCCGCCGCCGCCGCCGCCGCCGCCGCCTCCGCAGACCAGCCCGGCCCGCTCCGAGCCCTGAGCCCGGAGCCGCCGCCGCCGCCGCCGCCGCCACTGCCACTCCGAGCGCCGCCCCGGGCCCGGCCCGCCCGGGGAGATGCGGCCCCAGAGGGAGGCGATGCCCGAGCCGCGGCCGCCGCCCCGGAGCCCGCCCCGGTAAGTGCAGGGCAGCCGCCCGGGCCATTGTCCGCCTCCGCCCCGTGCCCACGCCGGGCTGGGCCCCGCGCTGCCGTCCCTCCCCCGAGACAGACAGACAGACAGACAGACAGACAGAACCCGGCCCGGGACAGAGACACCCCCCCCCACTCCAGCCGCGAGGCCCTTCCCCGCGCCCCCCTCTTCCAGGCGGAGACCCCATCATCCCCCCCCCCCCCGCCGCGGGTCCTTCTGTTCCTCTCCCCCCACTTGTCATCCCCCTGCCCCCTCCCCCAGACCTGCGCCCCGCGGTCCCTTCCTCCGAGCTTGTCATCTCGGCCCCCCCACCTCTGCGTCTCCCCCATTTTCTTGTCTTCCTGGGGATCCTGCGATGGCTCGGGCAGCTCACTCCCGGCCCTGCAGTGGGGCCCTCCAGCCCCCCACCCTCCCTGCCCGGGCCGGCCCTCTCCCGGGTCCTGCTGCTGCGCCAGCAGGTTGGAGGGCATCCTGCCCGGAGAGGGGGCGCCCCAGCCCCCCTCCCCCAGCCCTCCTCCCCTCCGTGCTTAGAATGGAGCAGTTTTACAATTAAATGAGCGATTCTCCTGGCAAGCCCCCGCCCTGGCCGGGATCGGTGACCCCAGCTCCTGTCTGGTGCTGGCCGTGGTTTGGGGAGACCCCTGCCCTCCACCGGCCTGTCCCCTCTCGCGCTTGAGAGTCGGGGGTCTGTGGGGCCGCTGAGCCCAAGCCTGAAGCTCTGGGCAGATTGAGGACGGAGATAGGTAACTGGCTGCCTGGCGTGGGCTTCCCAAACCGGTTTGGTTTGGCGTGTGAGTGTGTGTGTGTGTGTGTGTGTGTGTGTGTGTGTGTATGTGTGTATATGTATGTATGTTGGGGGGGGTGCTAAGAAAGGAGGTTGCAAATGGGGAGGCCTTGCCACTGTCTCGCCCTGCCCCAGACTGCAGAGGAGTGAGCGTCTGGCTGGAGAAAGACTTCTTTGGGATCTTGGCTGCCTCCCGGGGAGGGCTGAGCAGGAGGGACCCCCCTGGGGGTTCAGAGTTAAGGGCTTTGATGCGGCCGGGGGGGGGGGGGGGCGATGGGGAGGGAAGCTAAGCCCACAATAAGAAACTGCAGTTTGGAGGCTTAATTTTGTCGGAATGGAAAAAAGGAGCGACCGCTGGCTGAAGTCGCTGCAGCGGAATCCATCCCTGTGCCAGGGAAGGGAATCTGGGGGAAGGCTCCTAGGCTGCAGCTGTAGAGGGCCTGGAGATCATGCAGCTGGACCCTCCCTCCCGGGAAACTGAGGGCTTTGAGAGGGGCCCTAGGACAGCCAGCTAGGAGGTAGCGGGGCCTGAGGCAGCCCAGGATTCATCCAAGCCAGGAAGGCAGGCCTGTGTGGCTTTCATTCTGCATGGTTTTCTCAGCCCTGGGATGTTGCTGGCTCCGATTGTATTATCTGAACTCCTCTGGCATTGCAAAAACACAACATGAAATTAGAGGCAACTTATCTTTTATTTCCTCTGTACACAGACAGATTGGCCACTGGAATAGCTGGAGACCTTCTGTGTGCCCTAGAAGGGCCTGCCTCGGGAGGAAGGCCCATCAACAATTTCTAATAACTCGTCTCGCTGATTAGGAAGGTTCCTTTTATTGGGTGCCTGGAAATTGACCTGCTGTGACACAATTTTCAAATAAAGCTTTGTAGAAATTAAACTTAAGTTATTTTAAACTAATGACTTTCTTAACTAAATCTTAATTGCATGACTACAGAGACCAATCTAATTGCCTAATGAAAAAAATGCCTGCTGGTTCTAGGTAGGGAGTGCGTCCCCGTCAGCATCACCATGGCCGGCGGTGACGGCTCGGGGCTCGATCTCTTCCGCCTGCCCCTCCGATGGCCTTTCTGGTCCGACCACAAGTCCCCCGAAAGCATCTGAGAGCCCAGTGCCTTTAAAGAAAACAGGCTGGGCAGAAGTAAACAAACAAACCAGCCAGCCAGCTCTGCCTGTCAGTGGGTTCAGGAGTGGCTGCTGCCTGGCCTCCCCCATCCCCTTTTGTAATAGGATCGGGCCCAGGCGCTTGCCTGGAGTTTTAATTGTTTCTGATAATTCTGTGCCTTATTTTAGGGGCTTTAGATTCAAAGCTGCTGTTGTGGTTTCTGAGCCTCAAACTTAATGGGGGTGTGTGGGGGGGGGTGGGATGGAATGAAGAAAACTCAGCTGCATGTGTGCAAATAGTCACCGCGGCAATTACGAGGCAACAAAAGTTATGGCAGCATTTTGCGGTAGCTATGGCAACACGTTTACTCGATTATAATTGGAAATGCAAAATGCCACCCAGTCAGAACTTTTGGCAGTTGTAGATTTGGGGGTAGGCTAAAGCTGGAAGTAGGCCTTTCTCTCTTCTCCTCTTAGGCGCCAGAGGGGCCCCCCCAAAAAGGACATCAAGGTCTCGCTCCTTTTTTTCTCTCTATTATACTTTCTGAAAGTTCTGTGATACATCATATGCATAACGTCCCTCCTTTGAATTGGTGGCACCGGAGAGCTCAAATATGTGTGGGAGGGAAGGAAGTATTTTCATGCCTTAGATTTTTTTTTAAAGACTTGGATCTCTGTTCTAGGCTTTTGTTTTAAAGATCAGATTCCCTTCCACAAAGTGAGCGTCAGTGAACCAGGAGGACACTGGGGGGGGGGGGGGGGGGGGGTTTTTCTCCCCCCCCCCCCCTTGTTCCCTTGCTCGAGGGCCCCCCCCCCAACTTGCTGGCCTTACTACCCACCCTGTCAAGTACAGGGCGTGTGGTGAGTGCCCTCCAAAGGCCCAGAGGGGAGATCCCAGCACGGATCTCTGGCCGGGAGCTCGGCCTAGCAGGCCGCTGCCCCTGCTTCATCCTTTCGTCCTCCTTGTCCAGCCAGGTGAAAACCTAGCGAGGGTGTGCTCTGGTGGAGGGAGGGGCTGGCTGCCTCCATGGAGGATGGAAGGCTCAGACGGGGAGCACGAAGCAGATGTGGCCCAACATGCCTGAGCAGATCATTTTGTGTGGTCAGCAGGAGAACGGCTCTGCCGAACACAGGCTCAAAATGTCCCACTCCTCAGAGGCATCCAGAGGCCAGAAACTCCGGCAAAGGGGGTTCTGGGTCCGTGATGGCGAACACATGGCCCTGGGCCCCCGTCCTGAGGTGGCTGCCGGGCCCTGAGGAGCCCAGTTGACTCGTTGCTGGGCAGGACTGTGCCCCAGCAGGAGCCCCGGAGTCTAGGGTTCGAGGTCATTTACCTTTGCCATCAGGCCTGGTTTGGATGGCCTCTTGACTGTTTGAGCTTCGTGGTTGGGAGGTTTCAGTTCACCAAAGAACGGCTTTGAATGAAAACCCTTTGATGCTCGGGGGTGGGGCAGAAGGAAATGAGGCTCGGTGCCGTCTGAATTTCCACAACAGAAGAAACATGTTGTCGCCCATGTAGAAGCCATCACTCTGTTTTCTATTGAAAACGGCTGGACCCTCGTCCCCTGGAAGCTGCCCTGAGGAGCAGATTGATTCATGATGCAGCGCGCTCTGAAGAATGGGCGCTGCCTGAAAATGAAAGGAAAATACCACCAGCTGGGGCCTCAGTTTCTTTCCCTGCAAAATGAGGAGGTTGGAGGAGCTGAATAGAAGACCTGGGCTCCGATATTGCCTTAGACACCTGCTAGCTGGGTGACTCTGGGCACTCAGGGCCTTTCCATCTGGGCCTCAGTTTCCTCTTCTGTTAGGTGGCGGGCTCAGAAGCCTCTGCTAACTCCAGGTCCCACTTCTTGGGAGTCTCTGGTCCAGCGTCAGTGTAAACGTGGCCCTTTGGCACACTTTGGACCCGTCTCCTTGGGCAGCCGTCTGGGAAAAGCAGAGGGGTGGGAGCCCACGTAGGAGCACTGCAGAGGAGCACAGACTGAGAGCTAGAACCAGTCAGTCAACATTTATTAAGCACCTACTATGTGCCTGGACTCCTTCGGCTAAGAAAGAAACTGAGGCGCAGAGAGGGGAGGTGCTGTACACAAAGCCACCGAGGTGATGAAGGGTTCAGAGGTCAGCCCCATCAGGGCAATCTAGTCCGACCTCCCCATTGTACAGAGGAGGGAAGGGCCTTAGCCAAGGCCAGACACAGACCGTGAATTTGAAGCCAGGCCCCAGAACTCCATATTCCTTTCTCTTCTTTCTCCTGCTCAGCCCCGCTGCTGAGCCCTCTCCAGTTTAGAGGCAGGATGGCAGCAGTCTTGGCACAAGCTGAGGATGGTGGGGTCTCATTTGGGACGCAGATTGTGGGCCCCCAGATGTGTTGGTCTGCGGAGCGGGGTTATGGGGTCACGGGCCCAGAGCTGGACGAGGCCTCAGAGGCCGTCTAATGCCCCCTGTCATTTGACAGAGGAGGAAACTGAGGCTCCCCACCCCCGGAAGGTGCAGAGGCTCCAGCCTGAGGCCTGCAGGTTTCTGCTTTCCCTGTCCTGGGCCTTGTCTGTGGATGGGGCTGCTGGGGGCCAGGCCTGCTGTTTGAAGAAAGACCTGGGGTGAGCAACTGACATTTTTAAGTTGGTTCCCAGGAGTGTTTTCTTTTCATTTCTGTGCCTTCCTGAAGACAAGTTGGTCAGTCAGCAAATACTGTGAACTACGTACTCTGCTAGGTGCTAGAGATACAGAGAAAAGCAAAAACAGTGCCTACTTTCAAGGAGGGCCCAGCTTAATGGAGTCCACCATGGGATCAGTGGAACCCAGGACATACTGACTTTTTAGAGAGGAGAGGAGAAATTGAGGCAGTGTGGTACAGAGAGAATATCCTGAGGCCCAGGGTCTGGGTTCAGATCCTCAGTCTGCTCCTTGTGGGACACTTCCTTGACTTCTCTGGGTCTCAGTCTCTTCATTGGAATTGAATTCTCCCAACACTAATCATCTTGGCCGATCTCCCACTGAATTTGGTGGTCCCTCCTATAATATCCGGGAGACCAGGTCCTCCACTCTCTGCTTGAATACTTCTAAGAATGGGGAGCTCACTACCTTTAT